GAAAAGTCAATGGAGAAAAAAATATTGTGACTATGACATATATATATTCTTTTTATATACAGACAGTCTCTCTCTCTCTCTCTCTCTCTATATATATATATATATAAATACATATACACGAAAACACACTAAATGCGCGCGCGCACTCAATTACGCACACACACACACACACACATATATATATATATACATATATATACATATACATATACATATATATATATATATATATATATATATATATATATACATATATATTCATCAATACACACACAAACACACACACACACACACACACATATATATATATACATATATATATATATATATATATATATATATATATATATATATATGTGTGTGTGTGTGTGTGTGTGTGTGTGTGTGTGTGTGTGTGTGTGTGTGTCTTTTTTAATTTTTGGTTCCGTTTTTTTATTTTTTTTATTCATCCCTGAATGGTATATATATATACATATTTACACAAATTAGTTTCACGGTTTGAATCCACATTTGCATAAAACATGGTCATAGTATATACTCTCACATTTGCATAAAATAAGGTTACGGTCTATAAACTCATATCTGTATACACACACTTAATGCATATGGACATCCATGGCTGGTGTCGGAGAAAAATAAACATACATATATGTGTGCATATACATATTATTATACATATACATTATTATGCATATACATATTATACATATACATATTATGCATATCATTATACATATACATATACATATACAAATACGCGGAAAATACGATAAGTGATGTCAATCGGTTAATAATGGGCTACTAAAGCCCGACGCCTCTTCACTTCACTGTATGTATATTTATATATACATATATATATATATATATATATATATATATATATATATATATATATATATATATAATACATATATATACATATATATATATATATATATATATATATATATATATATATATATATATATATATATATATATGAATATATATATACATATATATATATATATATATATTTATATATATATATATATATATATATATATATATATATATATATATATATATATGAATATATGTATGCATATATGTAAGTATATATATATATATATATATATATATATATATATATATATATATATATATATACATATATACATATATCTAATATATCTAATATATCTAATATATCTGTACATATATCTATATATACATACATATATATATATATATATATATATATATATATATATATATATATATATATATATATATATATGATTCAGTTACCCGTCCTTTAGACTATTGGTTAGCGAGCGTTTTATCTCCTTTTATGGGATCATTTTCTGATAGTCATATCAAACATTCGATGGATTTCATGGACAAGGTTAGAAACTTGCCGACGCACGATAAGAAATTAGTGAGTTTTGATGTAGATTGATGTAGATTGCGAATTTATACATGGAGATATTTGAATCTGAACTCCTGCCGTCTATTCTCCCTCCCGACACGATCTGGTTTCGTTATATTGATGATATTCTTTCGGTTTACCGTAAACATACACACTCTGCAAATTACCTTCATTTTTTCTCGAATCACCCGTTTTATGTTAAGGAGTCAGTAGTCTCGTCCCTGTTTCTCAGGGCATATAGGATTAGTGATACTGAATTAATCGATCGAGAACTCGACGACATATTCGAAACTTTTTCTTTTTCGAAATTAAGACATCCTCGATTTTTCTTAAATCAAGCACATTCATCTGCTAGATGGAAATGTTATACTCATTCCGTAATATTCAACAGGATAGTGACAACAATCTATTAATCATTCCGTATAACCCGTCCCTAGATGAGAAACGACACAATGTTTAAAGGCGTTGGAATGGACATTGTTTTTACGTATCCGAACACGTTGCATAATTCTTTGGATAAGCACAATGCGACTAACGGTGCTCTTGGGAATTCTCCCGGTATTTATACTATACCCTGTAAGGATTGTCCCAAATTTTACCTAGGCGAGACCGGTAGAGCTTTTGAGAAAAGAATCAATGAACATAAACGTGATGTTAGATATGCCCGAGATTCAAATGCGTGTTTCGTTCACTTGCGTGATGAAGGTCACCAGCTTAACTGGAAAAACGCTAAAGTAATTCATGAATCAGCTAATTCGCACGAAAGGAAAATGTTAGAATCTCTATTAATTAGAAAAATGCCTAACTTTAACTTGAGTGCTGGTCAATGGGGCTTGGATGACCTAGACTCTTCGACCCTGACGCTCCTGAGACCTGATTCAGCTTTTGTCCGTTCTGTCTCTCAACCACTATATATTCTTGTCAAATTTCTCTCCTTGTATCCATTTCGGTTTATCAATAGTCTGAAGAGGAACTCGTGAAGAGTTCGAAACGTTACGATTCATATTCATTTCTTGCTGTGGCAGTTTTCCTTTCATATATATATATATATATAGATATATATATATCTATTTAATTATTTATCTATTTATACACACTCACAATACTCACGAAAAATATAAGCCATGTATATATATCTTTGGCTAAATAAGAGACACCCGTTTGAGGATGACAACAACTATCTAATACTGTTAGCCGCCTGGCCTTCCACATTAAGATTTAATGTGGTGCGAGTGAGAAATCCCGCCAGTGTCTGGTTATCCCTCTGGAGAGTATGAAGTCATCGCTGGAGATGCCTTGATGCATACGTGTCTTTCTAATGTTCAAATGCTACGAAGATGAGAATTATCTAGTGTTATCATCTCTATAATAGCTAGCTTATGGCCTCCATCCAAGGCCAGAACTCTGGGAGATCAAATAAGATGACTCCTCGCGCAAAGACTGTTGTCAAGCGGTAGTTGGAGAATCCTCTTTTTTTGGAGAAGGTTGTATGGACACGTCTCTGTTGCAAAGTCAGTCAGTGCTCGCATGATTTGGGCCACAGGGGTTTTCGTGCTATTAGGGATCCTATTCTCACCCATGCACAAAAGAAACGTGGGGTCGACTTTGCCGTGAAATATTTCACTTGGGGTGTGAAACAATGGTATTGTCTTTCGAAGCCACAGTTACTCGTTAAAAAGGGGGATATATCTACCGCTTTGTGGGAAGTGACCCCCTTGACTCCGCTTTACATGTGGGACGGTTTTTAATGGCGTGCTTTCTCGAGGAGGGATTGGGTTAGTTCACTATACTGTCGGCAAATGCCAAGATTAATTAGAATATCTGTTTTGAAATGTAAAATGATAAGAGTTTTTAATAAACGGGTGCATTTGTTTTTTTTTTGTTTGTTTTTTTCAATAAAATTGTACATATGCCCATACGTCAAGGCCTGTAATCAATTGGCTCTCTATTTGTGGAGTGAAGTGTATCAGAGGTAGACGTAGGAACATCCTAGATATTACTCCAATTGAAAACTTGCAGCATATAATACAGCATGACTCACAAATCAAGGGCACCAGTTCCCTTCACAAGCTGGGAGCAGCTCTCAATGAGTTATAGCCAAAGAGACCCACTGAAGCCCTTCGAAGCCTGGTCCGATTACTGCCACAGAGGACTAAGGAAGTGAAGAGGCGTCGGGCTTTAGTAGCCCAATATTAACCGATTGACATCACTTATCGTATTTTCCGCGAATTTGTATATGTATATGTATATGTATAATGATATGCATAATATGTATATGCATAATAAGTACATGTATAATAATATGTATATGCATAATAATATGTGTATGTATTGTAGCCACTGCCATCAGCATCGGCATGGCGTAGCTGCTGGCCTCAGCATCACGCGTATATCATCCCCTCTACGACTTGGTTGACGGTTTCCTCAAGGGCTGCGATAAGGATAACGCCATGGCCGTGTTCCTCCGTGTGTTTATATGTGCTGAATTAGGCCTTGTCCCTAGTGTTGACGTATATATGGAAGGAAGGGCGTCTCACGAAAGGGGGGCCATCACAGGTCTATAGAACAGTTTGAGAGTGAATACTGGCTCGATAACACGTACATAAGGACCGATCTGAGGACTTCTGTTAAAGGCCTTGACTGTTCCCGCTATGTGAATGTATCATATACATTCATGTATAAATATATGTTAGTGTCCGTGTATGTTGTTGTTTACCTTAAGCAGTAGGGTATAATGACAATCTTAGCAAACAGTAAAATGTATTTTTTCTCTAGTTGTAATGTTATAAGCACTGATAAAAACTTGTAAGTGAATCAAAGTCGAATTGTAACATTAACTATGATTATCATTGTATTATTATTGTATTGATTTATGATTGATATTGCATTGATGTACTGATTACAAGTTTGACTGCATTCCAATAAATCGTGAAGCGAGTGCGACGCAGTGGTATCAGTCACCTTGAGTTAACATAAATAATCTAAGCGCATGAATTGGTGCTTACATGTATAATAACATGTATATGCATAATAATATGTATACACATAATATGTATATGTATAATAATATGTATAATACACACACACACACACACACACACACACACACACACACACACACACACACACACACACACACATATATATATATATATATATATATATATATATATATATATATATATATATAAATACATATACATGTATATATATGTGTATGTATAATAATATGTATACACATAATATATATATGTAAAATAATATGTATAATATACATATATATATAAATACATATACATGTATATATCTATGTATAAGTATATGTGTGTATCTTTAGATAAGTATTTTATGCATGCATGTATGTATGCATGTATAAAAATGTAACTGTAAGTATGAGCAAAACAAAGGGAGAAAGGCCTCCTCAACGCTCACAGCTTTACGATCTCTAATCCCCCCTGTGTGTGTATCTGAGTGAACGAGCTGCGGGGAAACCCGTGCATGGATTTTTCCTAAAGTTCATAATTGTTTTTTTTTCAGTGGAGAGCCAATTAACGAAGCCGATTTATAAACCGCTGGCAGACCTCAGGCA